GGCTCCTCTGTCCTCCACTCGTTACCTGTATTAATGGCACCTGTTTGAACTTGTTATCAGTATAAAAGACACCTGTCCACAACCTCAAACAGTCACACTCCAAACTCCACTATGGCCAAGACCAAAGAGCTGTCAAAGGACACCAGAAACAAAATTGTAGACCTGCACCAGGCTGGGAAGACTGAATCTGCAATAGGTAAGCAGCTTGGTTTGAAGAAATCAACTGTGGGAGCAATTATTAGGAAATGGAAGACATACAAGACCACTGATCATCTCCCTTGATCTGGGGCTCCACGCAAGATCTCACCCCGTGGGGTCAAAATGATCACAAGAACGGTGAGCAAAAATCCCAGAACCACACCTAGTGAATGACCTGCAGAGAGCTGGGACCAAAGTAACAAAGCCTACCATCAGTAACACACTACGCCGCCAGGGACTCAAATCCTGCAGTGCCAGAAGTGTCCCCCTGCTTAAGCCAGTACATGTCCAGGCCCATCTGAAGTTTGCTAGAGTGCATTTGGATGATCCAGAAGAGGATTGGGAGAATGTCATATGGTCAGATGAAACCAAAATATAACTTTTTGTTAAACTCAACTCGTCGTGTTTGGAGGACAAAGAATGCTGAGTTGCATCCAAAGAACACCATACCTACTGTGAAGCATGGGGGTGGAAACATCATGCTTTGGGGCTGTTTTTCTGCAAAGGGACCAGGACGACTAATCCGTGTAAAGGAAAGAATGAATGGGGCCATGTATCGTGAGATTTTGAGTTAAAACCTCCTTCCATCAGCAAGGGCATTGAAGATGAAACGTGGCTGGGTCTTTCAGCATGACAATGATCCCAAACACACTGCCTGGGCAACGATGGAGTGGCTTCGTAAGAAGCATTTCAAGGTCCTGGAGTGGCCTAGCCAGTCTCCAGATCTCAACCCCATAGAAAATCTTTGGAGGGAGTTGAAAGTCTGTGTTGCCCAGCGACAGCCCCAAAACATCACTGCTCTAGAGGAGATATGCATGGAGGAATGGGCCAAAATACCAGCAACAGTGTGTGAAAACCTTGTGAAAACTTACAGAAAATGTTTGACCTGTGTCATTGCCAACAAAGGGTATATAACAAAGTATTGAGAAACTTTTGTTATTGACCAAATACTTATTTTCCACCATAATTTGCATATAAATTCATTAAAAATCCTACAATGTGATTTTCTGGATTTTTTTTTCTCATTTTGTCTGTCATAGTTGACGTGTACCTATGATGAAAATTACAGGCCTCTCTCATCTTTTTAAGTGGGAGAACTTGCTCAATTGGTGGCTGACTAAATACTTTCTTTCCCCACTGTATATATGGTCAGTAGTGTGAACACATGTAAAGTGTTGGTTCCATGAGCTGAAATAAAATATCTCAAATGTTCCATACGTCAAATTTTGTGCACAAATTTGTTTACTTTCCTTTTAGTGAGCATTTCTCCTTTACCTAGATAATCCATCCACGTGACAGGTGTGGCATATTAAGAAGCTGATTAAACAGCATGATCATTACAGGTTCACCTTTTTTTATTTTTTTTATTTTACCAGGTAAGTTGACTGAGAACACATTCTCATTTACAGCAATGACCTGTGGAATAGTTACAGGGGAGAAGAGGGGGGATGAATGAGCCAATTGGAAGACAAAAGGCCACTCCTAAAATTTGCAGTTTTGGCACACAACACAATGCCATAGATGTATCAAGTTTTGAGGGAGCGTGCAATTGGCATGCTGACTGCAGGAATGTCCACCAGAGCTGTTGCCAGAAAACATAACGATGGTCGTTATGGCCAAACAGTTCTATTTTTGTTTAATCAGACCAGAGGACATTTCTCCAAAAAGTAAGATCTTTGTCCCCATGTGCAGTTGCAAACCGTAGTCTGGCTTTTTTATGGCGGTTTTGGAGCAGTGGCTTCTTCCTTGCAGAGGGGCCTTTCAGGTTATGTCGATGTAGGACTCGTTTTACTGTGGATATAGATACTTTTGTACCTGTTTCCTCCAGCATCTTCACAAGGTCGTTTGCTGCTGATCTGGGATTGATTTGCACTTTTCGCCCCAAAGTACTTTCATCTCTAGGAGACAGAACGTATCTCCTTCCTGAGCGGTATGACGGCTGCGTGGTCCCATGGTGTTTATACTTGCGTACTATTGCTTGTACAGATGAACGTGGTACCTTCAGGCGTTTGGAAATTGCTCCCAAGGATGAACCAGACTTGTGGAGGTTTACAATTTTTTTTCTGAGGTCTTGGCTGATTTCTTTTGATTTTCCAATGATGTCAAGCAAAGAGGCACTGAGTTTGACGGTAGGCCTTGAAATACATCCACAGGTACACCTCCAATTTACTAAAATTATGTAAATTAGCCTATCAAAAGCTTCTAAAGCCATGAAATCATTTTCTGGAATTTTCCAAGCTGTTTAAAGGCACCATCAACTTAGTGTATGTAAACTTCTGACCCAATGGAATTGTGATACAGTGAAATAATCTGTCTGTAAACAATTGTTGGAAAAAGTACTTGTCATGCACAAAGTAGATGTCCTAACCAACTTGCCAAAACGATAGTTTGTTAACAAAAAATTGGTGGAGTGGTTGAAAAATGAGTTTTAATGACTCCAACCTAAGTGTATGTAAACTTCCGACTTCAACTGTGTATGTATGTATCCCATAAGCATTTCTGTCTGTTCTATAGATGTTATGTCTTTGTATTGCTACTGCTGTATCATCAAATGAATTGTCTAAGTGAGTCTCATAAATGGCTAATATATGAATGTTATTCATTTCATGAACCTTATTTCTAAGGCTACATATATTAATATGGGCTATTTTCAGCCCTTTCTGGGTAGCTTATCAGAGATAGACATAATATGGAAAAGAGCAAACAAAGCAAGAGAAAAATATATACATTCAGCAGTCCATTAATCAATTGGTGTGTGTGCGTGCTGCGGGGTTGAAGCTACGAACCCATAGGCTTGGCTCTCTCATCCCTTCCAGGCTTTTGGCAGGGAGGGTGTACAATGAGCCTGACATAGTGGATGTAAGCAATGTCCCCACGCGCTCTGGCAGCTTTCATGGCTGGGATAAGTTCTTTCCAATTCTGGCGCACAGCTTCTGGATAGTCCTCGTTGAGGAAGATTCCGCTCAAGTTCTTGGCTCGTTCCAGAACAGCTACCTTGTCCTTGAACTTGACCACTATCGGCCTGGGCCTGTCACCTGGGCTGGTGGTGGGGTTTCCACCTCAATCTTCCTGTGGTGTATCTACAATTTCTCTGGGATCATTTCCCTCAGACTCAGTCCAGGTCTCATGGAGATTCTTTAGTCCTGTACACAACCATGTTCCGCCTTGAGTGCCCCTCGAGATAATCTGATTTCTCCGTCATTGTTATCATGGATTCACACACAGAACTGATGTCCTCACTCAATGACTTATAGATTGCTGTCATCTTGCCATGCTCCTGTTTAAACTCATCGAGCTTGGGAGAACTGCAAACTGTTCTTCAGGTCCTGGACCTCTCTGGTCAGGTCATCCATTATTTTATTAGGTGACTCTAACAGTATTTGATAAAAACACAAAGCGATTTTGTTGTTGTAACAACTGCTTGTAGAACTATATTTTTGTCCTCAACGGTACTCCTGAGGAGAGGGAGAGGGGGGGAGAGAGAGATAGAGGGGGAGAGAGAGAAGGGAAAAGAGATGGATAGGAGCAAGAAGAGGGAGCGAGAGAGAAGTGGGAGAGGAGAGAGACGATAGAAGGGGGGGGGAGGAGCGCGAGAGGAGAGGCGAGAGAGAAGGGAGTGAGAGACGAGAGGGGAGGGAGCGAGAGACGAGAGGGGGAGAGAGAGGGGAGTGTGCGGGAGAGAAGGGAGCAAGGGGGAGAGAGAGAATGGAGCAAGGGGAGGGGGACGGAGAGAGAGCGCGAGAGAGAAGAGAGGGGGAGGGAGAGAGAGACGAAAGGGGGAGAAGGGAGAGGAGATCAGGAAGGCTGCCAAAGGTCAGTGCTGCTCTCTCCTCTCAGCTGTGACAAGGAAAAGGTCACGCCACTCAACAGTGAAGGCTGTATAGATTCATGGTGGTTTACCTCAGTGTCTACTGTAGCATTAGCACCACAGCTCACAGACCCCTGAATGGGTGGGTGAATCCCAAATTGCACCCTATTCCCTATATAGTGCACTACTTTTGACCAAGGCACTGATCAAAAGTAGTGCACTATATGGGGAATAGGGTGCCATTTGGGATGCATTCCATGTCTGGCACCCCCCATCAGCAAGTCACCAGCTCCCTTCTCAACTGCCTAAAAACATCAGCCCTCCTTGTTTCCTTCCCTTCATCTGCACTGGTTAAAAAATACTTGAAGTGATAACAATATGGTGGAAGCTCATCATTAGGCTGGCTTTTACCTGGTCTGTTCATTCAGGTTAGTGCAGATGAAGGAGAGGAGGCATGACTGTGTTTGGGGAAGAACTTCTGGGAAAGTCTGAAGAGACCAATTTGATATGACAGGAGGGAAATGTTAGCATCAATGGGCTAATCATGGTGTGACAAATGGAGCAGAATTTAAATGAAATTTTTGATCAAGAAGAACTGAGAGCATTGGTGGGTCGTTTCAAAGGAAACATGAAAAGATAGGGGAACCATAGACTTGCATGAGCAATGCTTTCTGCTACAGAAAATACTTTAGAGGTCTTACTTTAAAACTCTTTGTCCTTTCTTTGATGTTTCCCATTGTTGTAGTTTTTTATTTATTTTGTCTATAATATGATAATCCAGACCCTGTAGGTAAGGGTCTGGATTATCATATTATATCAATTCTAATCTGACTCCCAGTTTAGACCCAGGTTACTGTAAAATGGGCTTAATAAATGCATGCGATTGATTGATTAATTGACTGGCTGACTGACTGACTCCCAACCTGTGTCCTCCATCTCTAGCACTGTGCATACTGTTAGTCTGACTCCCCTCTCTGTCCCCCCCTCTCTCTAGCACTGTGCATACTGTAAGCGCCTTGGAGCCTCCATCAAGTGCTGTGCTGAAGGATGTGCTCGACTGTACCATTACCCCTGTGCGGGGGCGGCTGGGACTTTTCAGGATATCAGGAGTCTCTCCCTCCTCTGTTCAGATCACATAGAACTGGCCATCAGCAGATGTGAGTCCAGCACCATTAGATATAAAACTTCACTTGAAATATTTAAAGTCATGCTGTCATAAGTAGGACCCTGAGTTTTTCTGGACCAGGATAAACTCTGGGCCCAGACATTAGCTACTCACAATCTCCATTCTTTAGCCAAAAAGATGCCATCTGAAATATGCCCCTCTTCTCAATTTCTCTCCACCTCCCCTCCTCTCCCCCCTCCTCTGCTCTCCCCCCTCTCCTGCTCTCCCCCCTGTCCTGCTCTCCCCCCTGTCCTGCTCTCCCCCCTGTCCTGCTCTCCCCCCTGTCCTGCTCTCCCCCCTGTCCTGCTCTCCCCCCTATCCGCTCTCCCCCCTATCCTGCTCTCCCCCCTATCCTGCTCCCCCCTCTCCTGCTCTCCCCCCCCTCCTCATCTCCCCCCCTCCCCTGCTCTCCCCCCTCCCCTGCTCTCCCCCCTCCCCTGCTCTCCCCCCTCTCCTGCCTCCTGCGCTAACCCCCTTCCTCTCCCTCACCCCTTCCCTGCTCTCCCCCTCTCTGTTCCCCCTCTCCGCCCCGCCCTCCCGCTCCCCCCTCCCTCTCTACCCCCTCTCCTGCTCTCCCCCTCAATCTCTCCTGATCTACCCCCCTCCCTCTCCCTTCTCCCCCTCTCCATGCTCTTACCCCCCCCCTCTTTACCCCCTACTCCTGCTCTCCACCCTTCCTCCTTCCCCCCTCTTCTGCTCTACCCCCTATCCTTGGCTCTCCCCCTTCCTCTCTACCCCTCTCCTGTCTCCCCCCCTCCCCTCTCTACCCCCCTCTCTCTTCTCTTCCCTTCCCTATCCCCTCCCCTCCCTCTAGTTCCAGATGATTCTATCTGTGCACTGTGTGACAGCCCCGGGGAGCTCCCTGACCAGCTCTTCTGTACCAGCTGTGGGCAGCACTACCATGGGGCCTGCTTGGACATGGCTGTGACCCCGCTGAGGAGGGCCGGCTGGCAGTGCCCCGAGTGCAAGGTCTGCCAGACCTGCAAGTGAGTCAGCTTTCCACTGCCCCATCTGTCCACCCACATACCTGACCCTGTATTGAGTTGTGTGTGTGTGTTGCCGATTTTGTTTGCGCTACCTCTGTGGTTTGTGAGGATGGCACTCTTCTCTAGCCTTTGACCTCAACCAGGCCAGTTACTGGTAGAAACCGAGTCTGCGATAAATTCAAATCTGCTCCGAAATACAGATTAGGCTAACACAATTACCCTTTTGCTGTGTGATTTCTCAATATACATTAGTCTTGTGAATAAGGACACAACCATTTTAAACACAACAGGAGCCTATAGACTACAGAGCCAAGAAATGCCATGTTGATGCTGTCGATCTGTTATGTCAAAGAACATGTCTCATTCATACTTTCTTTCCTTTTCCTTGTGTATAGGAACCCGGGTGAGGACGATAAGATGTTGGTGTGTGACATGTGTGACAAAGGCTACCACACCTTCTGCCTGCAGCCCGTCATAGACGACATCCCTACCAACGGATGGAGGTGTCAGGTAGGACATCAAGTGGAAGATATAATGGGAGGTGCATTGTGTATGCTATATTATAGGTCTATGGTATGACTACAGCATATGACAAATAAGCTGCAAGATTTTTCTTTCTTCTATAGTATGTGAAGTGGATGAAAGGTTTGTCTTAATTTTCTGTGTTATTCGTAAGAACGGTGGTTTAAAACTCCCACAATTCATATTGAGAAATTCAGCTGTCGTCTAGGCTACCCATGTTGAGAATTACGTTTTTAGTGGTTGTATCTGTGCTTCCTGTAGTAAAGAAATGACTCACACGTGCAGCTCTTTTAAAGGGTACATTTTAGCCTCAGACCCTGTAGCATTTCAGATAAGGCTGATACTGGTGCGTGTGCGGTGGGGGAATCGAACTGTATGCGTCGTCATCCCCTGCCTATGGCCTCTACCCTCTTCCTCTGTTGGGGCAGGTGGTGCGCGGTGCCTGTCTGGGCGGTCAATCAGCTGCTGCGGTGGTGGGTTAGCAGCCTATCAGCTGCTGTGGTGGTGGGGGATCAGACCGCAGACCGCAGCAGCAGCCAGGCACCTGCCAGGTGGTGGAACATCCTCATACTCACTCAGTTTCTCTCTGTCTGACTCGGCAGCACGGCAGGAACACAGTCCACACAAGCAGCAGCCAACCCTCTCCTCTCTATCTCTCCTCTCTCCCTCTCTATCTCGCCTCTCTCCCCCACTCTTCAGGCTGCTGCGTCACACCCAGGCACTTTAGTTCTGACTGAAGCCTCATCTGAATGTCTTGGAGATGAATGAAAACAAAATTATTAAGAATCATTGTTTCAGTTGTGTTTCTATCTCCCTCCAACTCCAGAACTGCAGAGTGTGTGTCCAGTGCGGTACCAGGACGAGCGGTCAGTGGCACCACACCAGCCTGTTGTGCGAGAACTGTGTCCAACATCAGGACCCCGCCCTTACCTGTCCACTATGTGCCTGTATCCTGGACCCTGAGCACCAAAAAGACCTGCTCTCCTGCCACAGCTGTAAAAGGTAAATGCACACACACAGAGAGCACGTCCATTGTTCATTCTTTTCTAAATCTCCACACTCTTCAAGTTGTTTTGGCTTTCTTGTTTTTCCATTGATGTGTGATGGAGTCCTAAATCTTAATCTGTCCTCTCCTCCTGCTTCCAGATGGCTCCACCTGGAGTGTGAGCGGCAGTCGTCAGGCCAAGCAGACATCCAGCCCAGCCAGGACTTTGTGTGTTCAAGCTGTAGGCCTACTGGGTCACTACCGCAACAGGCCCCACCGCAACAGGCCCCACCGCAACAGGCCCCACCGCAACAGGCCCCACCGCAACAGGCCCCACCGCAACAGGCCCCACCGCAACAGGCCCCACCGCAACAGGCCCCACCGCAACAGGCCCCACCGCAACAGGCCCCACCGCAGGCAGAGGAGGAGGTGGAGGAGATGGACACAGGAGGCCTAGAGCTGAGCCCACAGGCTGCTATTCAGATGCACACAGAATCAGAACCGGTGGTTCCAACGCACACGGATCTAGAACCTGGCGCTAAGCAACTGAGGTCTCCTTCTCCAATGCACAATTTACAACCCGTTCCAATGCACACAAATGCAGAACCAGAGCCTGTCCAAGCCACCGATACTGTCTGTGAAAACGCCCATGAGGATAGGCAGCCACAGCAGGCTACATCAGACCAGCAGCCTGGTAAGTCTCTCTTTTGTCTGACTGGGTTATTTGGGGCTACTCACAGAGGCAAACTGTGTATTTTGGTTGCCAAGGTTAACCATGTGTGTGTTTTCCTGTAACCCCCTTAAGAGCTGTTTGGCAGGTGGACTCACTAGAGTGTGAGGGATTTGTTTGTCGCATGGCTTGGATTATTACTTTAGGATGATTGAGAGGTGGTATGAAAGGAGAGGGGTGTGTTTTTTTGAGCATCCAAACCCAGACAGACACACCAGACAGTATAACGTTCACAATCTCACACACACGTACACACACATTGCATGTAGGTGTTTTGCTTGGCCACGGTCGAGCAGCAGTATCACTGATTAAGTTATAAGTCCCTTGTTGTATGTAGATGAAGGCAGTCTGGTCTAGATGAAGACCAGAGGGAAGCGTTGCTCTGTCTGCTCTCTCTCTCTCATTCTTTGCCATGGCTCACATCAGACTGACAGCCATTCATCATCAGGGGCTTGGTTTCTAAAGGCATCAATAACCAGATGGGCTTCCATTATAACAAGATTAAAGCCATGAAAGCATTGTCTTTGTAATTCTTTGCAGTGGAAAAGCAGCACTTTGTAGCCTATTCTCCCGTTGATTCTTCAGAGGAGATGGAGAGTTTCTTGTTGCTCTCTGTCCTTGTTTAATAGCCTAACCTGGGTGAACAGAGCCTATTTATTTATTTATTTTATTTTATTTTATTTTTTTTCCACCTTTATTTAACCAGGTAAGCCAGTTGAGAACAAGTTCTCATTTACAACTGCGACCTGGCCAAGATAAAGCAAAGCAGTGTGAATAAAACAACAACACAGAGTTACATATGGGGTAAACAAAACATAAGGTCATAAAATACAACAGAAAATATATATACAGTGTGTGCAAATGTAGCAAGTTATGGAGGTATTGCTCACATACGTAGTAGTAGCTATGCAGGCTGCGTCTCTAGTATGAACTGAGTGCTCCTGCTATACAGCCCTAGGAGGGGCAGTACATATCCACTCAGGCCTTTGGGGCTTGGCTGCCTGAGGTAGAGTGCTGTAGCAGGTGAATGAGCTGCAGGGTATTACTATGGGACCTAACCTGGATGTCCACCCTCTGTCTAGACTAGACCTGACTAGACACAGGCAAACAGATGAGGAGAGATCTGTGGTGGAGGGAGGGGAGCGGTGCTGATGATGACGTATAACTAGGGCTATCTTGATTTTCTTTCCCTCAAACTTATGGCCGATTCACGATATACAGTGGCTTGCAAAAGTATTGACCCCCCCTTGGCATTTTTTCTATTTTGTTGCCTTACAACCTGGAATACATTTTTATTTTGCAGGGGTTTGTATCATTTGATTTACACAACATGCCTACCACTTTGAAGATGCAAAATATGTTTTATTGTGAAACAAACAAGAAATAAGACAAAAAACAGAACTTGAGCGTGCATAACTATTCTCCCCCCCAAAGTCAATACTTTGTACAGTCGTGGTCAAAAGTTTGGTCTTCACAAAGTTTGCTGCTTCAGTGTTTTGAGATATTTTTGTCAGATGTTACTATGGTATACTGACGTATAATTACAAGCATTCCATAAGTGTCAAAGGCTTTTATTGACAATTACATTAAGTTTATGCAAAGAGTCAATATTTGCGGTGTTGACCCTTCTTTTTCAAGACCTCTGCAATCCGCCCTGGCATGCTGTCAATTAACTTCTGGGCCACATCCTGACTGATGGCAGCCCATTCTTGCATAATCAATGCTTGGAATTTGTCAGAATTTGTGGGTTTTTGTTTGTCCACCCGCCTCTTAAGGATCGACCACAAGTTCTCAATGGGATTAAGGTCTGGGGAGTTTCCTGGCCATGGACCCAAAATGTTGATGTTTTGTTCCCCGAGCCACTTATTTATCACGTTTGCCTTATGGCAAGGTGCTCCATCATGCTGGAAAAGGCATTGTTCGTCACCAAACTGTTCTTTGATGGTTGGGAGGAGTTGCTCTCGGAGGATGTGTTGGTACCATTCTTTATTCATGGCTGTGTTCTTAGGCAAAATTGTGAGTGAGCCCACTCCCTTGGCTGAGAAGCAACCCCACACATGTATGGTCTCAGGATGCTTTACTGTTGGCATGACACAGGACTGATGGTAGCGCTCACCTTGTCTTCTCCGGACAAGGTGTTTTCCGGATGCCCCAAACAATTGGAAAGGGGATTCATCAGAGAAAATGACTTTAACCCAGTCCTCAGCAGTCCAATCCCTGTCTCTGATGTTTTTCCTGGAGAGAAGTGGCTTCTTTGCTGCCCTTCTTGACACCAGGCCATACTCCAAAAGTGTTCGCCTCACTGTGCGTGCAGATGCACTCACACCTGCCTGCTGCCATTCCTGAGCAAGCTCTGCACTGGTGGTGCCCCGATCCCGCAGCTGAATCAACTTTAGGAGAATGTCCTGGCGCTTGCTGGACTTTCTTGGGCGCCCTGAAGCCTTCTTCACAACAATTGAACCTCTCTCCTTGAAGTTCTTGATGATCTGTTAAATGGTTGATTTAGGTGCAATCTTACTAGCAGCATTATCCTTGCCTGTGAAGCCCTTTTTGTGCAAAGCAATGATGACGGCACATGTTTCCTTGCAGGTAACCATGGTTAACAGAGGAAGAACAATGATTAAGCACCACCCTCCTTTTAAAGCTTCCAGTCTGTTGTTCTAACTCAATCAGCATGACAGAGTGATCTCCAGCCTTGTCCTCGTCAACACTCACCTGTGTTAACGAGAGAATCACTGACATTTACATTTACATTTTTTACATTTTAGTCATTTAGCAGACGCTCTTATCCAGAGCGACTTACAGTTAGTGAATACATATTTTTTTTATACTGGCCCCCCGTGGGAATCGAACCCACAACCCTGGCGTTGCAAACGCCATGCTCTATCAACTGAGCTACATCCCGGCCGGCCATTCCCTCCCCTACCCTGGACGACGCTGGGCCAATTGTGCGCCGCCCATGAGTCTCCCGGTCGCGGCCGGCTGCGACAGAGCCTGGATTCGAACCAGGATCTCTAGTGACACAGTTAGCACTGCGATGCAGTGCCTTAGACAACTGCGCCACTCAGGAGTACATGATGTCAGCTGGTCCTTTTGTGGCAGGGCTGAAATGCAGTGGAAATGTTTTTTTGGGATTAAGTTCATTTTCATAGCAAAGAGGGACTTTGCAATTAATTGCAATTCATCTGATCACTCTTCATGACATTCTGGAGTATATACAAATTGCCATCATCAAAACTGAAAATTAGTATTTGTGTCATTCTCAAAACTTTTGACCACGACTGTAGAGCCACCTTTTGCAGCAATTACAGCTGGAAGTCTCTTGGAGTATGTCTCTATAAGCTTGGCACATCTAGCCACTGGGATTTTTGCCCATTCTTCAAGGCAAAACTGCTCCAGCTCCTTCAAGTTGGATGGGTTCCTCTGGTGTACAGCAATCTTTAAGTCATACAACAGATTCTCAATTGGATTGAGGTCTGGGCTTTGACTAGGCCATTCCAAGACATTTAAATGTTTCCCCTTAAACCACTCAAGTGTTGCTTTAGCAGTATGCTTAGGGTCATTGTCATGCTAGAAGGTGAACCTTCGTCCCAGTCTCAAATCTCTGGAAGACTGAAACAGGTTACCCTCAAGAATTTCCCTGTATTTAGCGCCATCCATCATTCCTTCAATTCTGACCAGTTTCCCAGTTCCTGCCGATGAAAACCATCCCCACAGCATGATGCTGCCACCACCATGCTTCACTGTGGGGATGGTGTTCTCGGGGTGATGAGAGGTGTTGGGTTTGCGCCAGACATAGCGTTTTCCTTGATGGCCAAAAAGCTCAATTTTAGTCTCATCTGACCAGAGTACCTTCTTCCATATGTTTGGGGAGTCTCCCACATGCCTTTTGACGAACACCAAACGTGTGTGCTTATTTTTTTCTTTAAGCAATGGCTTTTTTCTGGCCACTCTTCCTTAAAGCCCAGCTCTGTGGAGTGTACGGCTTAAAGTGGTCCTATGGACAGATACTCCAATCTCCGCTGTGGAGCATTGTAGCTCTTTCAGGGTTATCCTTGGTCTCTATGTTGCCTCCTGATTAATGCCCTCCTTGCCTGGTCCGTGAGTTTTGGTGGGCGGCCCTCTCTTGGCAGGTTTGTTGTGGTGCCATATTCTTTCAATTTTTTTAAATAATGGATTTAATGGTACTCCGTGGGATGTTTTATTTTTTTATGACCCAACCCTGATCTGTACTTTGCCACAACTTTCACCCTGACCTGTTTGGAGAGCTCCTTGGTCTTCATGGTGCTGCTTGCTTGGTGGTGGCCCTTGCTTAGTGGTGTTGCAGACTCTGGGGCCTTTCAGAACAGGTGTGTGTGTGTGTATATATATACTGAGATCATGTGACAGATCATATGACACTTAGATTGCACACAGGTGGACTTTATTTAACTAATTATGTGACTTCTGAAGGTAATTGGTTGCACCAGATCTTATTTAGGGACTTCATTGGGGGCTCCGGAGTGGCGCAGCAGTCTAAGGCACTGCATCTCAGTGCTTGAGGCGTCTCAACAGACCCCCTGGTTCGATTCCAGGCTGTATCACAACCGGCCACAAAATTGGGAGTCCCATAGTGCGGCGCACAATTGGCCCAGCGTCGTCCGTGTTTGGCCGGTGTAGGCCGTCATTGTAAATAAGAATTTGTTCTTAACTGACTTGCCTAGTTAAATAAAGGTTAAATAAAAAACAGCAAAGAGGGTAATACATATGCACGCACCAATTTTCTGTTATTTATTTTTTAGAATTTTTTTAAACAAGTAATTTTTTTCATTTCACTGTACCAATTTGGACTATTTCGTGTATGTCAATTACATGAAATCCAAATAAAAATCAATTTAAATTTGAGTTTGTAATGCAACAAAATAGGAAAAATGCCAAGGGGGATGAATACTTTTGCAAGGCACTGTATATCTTGATTTATTTTTTTTGAAAATGTTTTCCCTAAATAAGCTTTGTTGTACAGTTAATGGTCAAATATACTGCATTTAAAACAGTCACCAATAATAGA